ACAGGGATAAAGCAAGGATACCATTTTAGCTTAGCACACACACACACACACACACGCATACGCACACGCACGCACACATACTTATAGCCAAGGGACCACACAGCGATCCCAAACGTTTTGCGAGCTTGCTTTGCTGATGTTCCGTGTTGCTGTCGCAATTGTTGGTGTTGTTGTTTCTGTTGTTGTTGTTGTTGTAATTGTTGCTTCTCTTGTTGTTTTTTTTGGGTGCGTCTGACTCGCCTTTTTTGTGTAGACCAAACGAGTATTCCCTGTTATAATCCCCATGGCTTGCATGTTTGCTTAGCACCTACTCAGCGTGTGTTAGGTATATTAGTCTATTTGTTACTGTGTGTATGTGTGTGTGGGTGCTTGGTTGCAGGGCAAAGGGGGGGTGGTGCTCTGCGTTTCTACTATGTTATAAATTTGAAAATTTACAAAATCATCGTCCATATTTGATTTGCATTCAATTTTGTATCGAACCTTCTTAGCTGCCGATTCGCCTCGAGTGTGCGTGCGTATGTATGCGTGTGTGTGTTGTGCCTGCGGATTGTGCTCGTTTGTATTTCACAGAATTGCACAAGAGATTCACAAATTGCTTTCATTGATTGCCACCGACAAAGCCAGTTGGAAGGTGGTCTCAAACGGCGCAAAGCTGGCACTGGGAATAGCTAAAGGCTAGGTGGTCCGTGTCGGGCGGTGCGGTGCGGGGCAGTGCGGCGCTGTAGTGTGAACTCGCATTGGGAAATGGCCTTAAATTGTCTAGTGCCACAAGAGAAACAGAGAGCACAGCTGGCAGCTGCCCTGGAGCCCACTCGGCGTATGAGTTACGTAGTACGACAAACACTTTGGCAGCTGTTTTATAGTTAGCCAGCTGTAGCTGAGAGGCGCCCAGTTGACCCCTTTTACAGCAGCCACCGAGGCTTATGCTGCGGACGTCTACGTAAAATTATTACGCTGCAATGCATCATCCAAAGTAAACAGCGGCAGGCACCAGACGAATCTGCCGCTGACATGCTGAAGAGCAGCAGCACACGCGTTGCTTGCAACAAAAAATGTGTGTTTAAAGGGGCCCAAGCAAAGTATTTAAGCTCTAAACAATTGAAAATAAATAAAACGAAACGAAAAATGAAGAACTGAAATAAAAAACGCGCATACTGAAAAGCGTACGGCAGACAGTTGGGACACAATTGACGGACATGCTGCTAGAGTAATTGTTATCCTTGTTGGCTGTGCGCAGGCACGTCGCGCACTCGAAACGTGGAACGCCGAACGGAGCGCGGACTAAGCGCAAGAGACGAGAGCATACTACACAAAGCACAAGCGCCACTTGAGCGTGGCACGCGCGCGCGGGCATCGCCAGCAGCAGCAGCACAGGCAGCAACAACAGTTGCAACAACAGCAACAAAAAAGAGAAGCTGTAAGCAGCACTCAGCGGCACGCACTTGAGGGCTTTGCAACAGGGCGAGGCATTCCAAGGCTGGCAGCTAAAACTGCAATCGCAGCTGAAGTAAGGGATTCAAGTTGGGAACTGTTGCCACGCCAATGCCCATTTCCTTCATCTCTATATCTATGTCGTCCCTTTGTATACTCTAGCAATGGTTTCTACAATTTGATCACGCGTGCATGCAGATAAAAATATGTAAAATATATATTTTTGATTTTGTTTTTGATCAGCATTAAATGGCTAGTTCAAAAAAGTTTTTCAATTTAAAAACAATTGAAATTTATCTTGGCATTTTTTTACTGCAGTTATTTTTATGTTAAAAAAATACCTTTAATGAGGAAATGCTTTCATAAAATGTGTTACTATTTCATACAAATATTTTGACAGTATCTGTAATTCTATTTTACTAAAAAACTTATTGGTTATCTTTTATCTATTAAGAGATAATCGGACTTAAAAGTAGTTATATGAAAAACGGTCTTGTCTGGCTAAGATCAGATTATTTGTTCGCAAGAGTATTTAATTTCAAGCAGTGCCAAAGGCATTTTTCTCTTGTTCTGTTTATTTATTTTATTTTATTTTCTTTCCTTTTTTTTCTTGCATGCCTTTGTTCCACTCACTGTAAAGCTTCTGTGCTTACATTTCGTTGGGAACTTATTTATTTTTAATATTTTTATTTGTCGTATGCAAATAGGCACTCGTTCTCGTTGTTCTTTGGAATTATTTTTATTTATTTGTCTGCGGCTTTACCATGTACTCTGCAAATCTTTGCGCAACAATGCCTTTCAATTAAGTAGCGGCCACGTCTTGACAGTCATGTTTGAATTTCGTATTAAAACTTGAAGCAACAACTTTGTTGCAACTTGCCGTGGTCGCATAAATCACATGTCAGCAGCAGCATTGGCAGCAACATGTCAACAGCAAAGCTGGTTCGCATGCCAAATGAGCCAATATGAGCGCGAAAATGCAGCCAATTCGGAATGTGTGGCAACAATGGCCACTGGCCAATGGGTCAATGGTGCATGTTGCATGCCCCACGATGGCGGCTGCAATCGTAATTGAAATACAAAGCCAATTTATAAACGAGAAACGATAAAACCCAAACAGTGAACAGCAAACGGCGGGCAACAATAGCAACAGGGAGCAGCAGAGCAGGAGGCAGGCGTCCGTCTGGGTCGACAGCAACATTGAAGGGTAGGCCAGGCGAACGGTTACAACAACGGGAAGATGAAATAAAGCATCAAAGTGGCAATCACGCCAATCACGCATAATAAATCATTGCGTAAGTGTATGCGCGCATTCTCATGTGTGCGCCTTTGCGCGTGTGTGCGAGTATGGTTGTGCGTGCGTGCATTTCGCCATGTCAAAAATGACGAAACCCAGCAGCTAACAGCGGTCACGTGTTGTCAACACACAAGAAACAACGCACACACACAATCACACACTCACACACACAATTGCATACACACATGCCGACGCATGCGAGTGTTTATTTATGCTTGTTTATTGGTGGCCATATATAAGCGGCAGTTGGCAAGCCAGGTAAGCTGACCAAGAAAGGAGCGCATAAAACAAAACCAACAACTGCCAACGAGTGGAAACCACGCACTGTACCTGTTTGTTTTTGGTGCGTTCTGTTTGGTGCTTGTGGTTAGATATTATGCAAATTGTCTTTTGAAATATAAAAGGCATTGATTAGCTTATGACACTTGCAAGAAATGAAGACAGCTATAGAGTTCAAAGGCCTAGCTCCAACTCCAATTTTAACTGCCCGTTTCTCTGGCATCTTTCAGTTTCCGAGTCATTAAGAGCTGGTTCACCTCACGTGGCAGCTTCGGCTTCAGCACCTGCTTTTATCGTGCACAAGCAGGGCGTGTAATTTCCTCCTGTAATTGGTGTAATTGAGTGCAAGAGCGAAGAAAATATTCAACATGCCAGCAATTAACATAAATTCACTGCGAGTGGCTAATGGAGAAAAGTTACGAGGCGCCGAAGATTAAATGCACTGCGAAACTCTGGTAGACTATGTTTAAGCGAAAACTGCTGAATAACTGCGTATAGTCATCTATTTTTGAGATAATTTTAAAAGTAATCAAAAATATACCAATATAGTATAGTTTGACATTTCAAAGTGGAAGAGTTGTCCGTTTGACCAATGCAGGCAACTGAACAACGAGGACCATATTTAAATCCCAATCTAGTAATTTAAAAGTGAAAATAATTTATATTATAGACAGATAATTAAATTAATAATCAAAATGAATTTTTATATTTTAAGAATATATGATATTTAAATATCTGTCAAAACAAACTTTCCATTTAATAAAATGATTCGCATTTGTGCCGTATACAACAATATTCATCACAGTGAAACTAAAACCCAGCTGTTTTTTAAGCACAGCATTTTAATATAATGCTCACAAGTATAAATTACAAATAAAATAAAAGTTGTTCTTTTTAATTTAAACTGGATTAATATAACTGCAATAATATAAGATACTTAAATACATACATTTAAGCTTGCAGAAATTCGCAGTTGTATGAACTTGTGAGACCAGTTCACATGCAACATATTACATATAAAAACAAGTAAGAGGTTCTAGTCGGGAGCTTCCGACTAGGGGATACCCTGAACCCTCTTCTTCCAACATAAAATGCATATATATTCTATTTTAGAAGCTATATGTAAAGTTTGGGGACTCTAGTTCTAATTATTTACCAAAATTGCCCAAAAAACAGGATATCGATATCGATTTTTATCGATTGCTTGGAAACAGAGTAAGTTATCGATTATCGGAATCAAACTCGATCTGCGCAGGCACTAGGCACCTACATCTAAAATTTCAAGACTCTAGCTCTTATAAGTTCTGAGTTCCTTGCGTTCATACATACGGACAGGCGGACGGACGGACAGACAGACGGACATGGCTAGATCGACTCGGCTATTGATGCTGATCAAGAATATATATACTTTATGGGGTCGGAGATGCTTCCTTCTGCCTGTTACATACATTTGGATTTTGCACAAATACAATATACCCTTATACCCATTTTTAATGGGTTCAGGGTATAATAAAAGATCTCTATGTAAATGTATGTAAGAACAACGCAAGCCCAAACGATAATGAAGCGCCCGTGTTGGGCGTGGCAAGTGCAGAGATAAGCAAACGGCAGCCGCAGTGCGCTTGCCGCGGCGAGTGCCGTTGATAATTGCCCGCGTGCGTGACAAATGCAGCTCGCAGCGAGATATATTAAAAAATATAGCATACTTACATGCGCGACAAGCGACAAGATGTGTAGCGGAGTGGGTTCTGAGCAAGGGTAATGCTGCTTATTTATTATGCTGTGCAGCAATGTCAACGCGTTGCCTTATTAACAATGCGCGAGGTGTAACGCAGATAAGTGTTAAGGGTTGAGCCACGAAGGGGGATCTGGGAGCTCGGGGTATACTATGAGATTATTGCACAATAAACAGCTCGGTCCATTCGAGCGCACATTTTATGCCCACGTAATATTTCTCGATGTTCATTTGGCGTATTTTCTTTTTCCTGTGCAGAAATGGAGTGCTTTCAACGATTCTCAGAGCAGCCCAAATACACGGAGGTGAATCCACGCGAGGACGCGTTGCTCACATGCAAAGTAATCGATAAGCGCGGCTCGTGCTCCTGGCAAAAGGATAACAAGGTAATCTCGTTAGAAAAGGTAAACTAGTCACACATATTGACAGTGTCCATTTAACTCGTATATTACATAAAGGCTAGTGTTTGCTTGCACTTTATAAATATCCTTAGTACACATACGCAGTCACAATATTAACTGAAAGTCATTTTATATGCATGGCGCGTCCTGTGGTTCAATTAAGTGTTGTTTTGGCTGCCAGCCTAGGCACATGTGCCAAAAGTAATTTACGCCCTTCGGTAGGACGAGATAATACAAGCCACTGAGCTTGTGGCAAAGATGTGAGCTTTGCTCTCGCCATCGACATGCCCCTGGACAGCGTTTCTTTGCCGAGCCGACTGCGCTTCTTATTGGGCATATGGCTGGCCAAACTTTTAATCGAAAATGCGTGACAGCTCGCACCGAAGCCTTGGGCGGTTACACACTCATGCATACACATACATATGAACTCAATTAGATTCGCCGTCGCGCTACATGGAAACGCTATTATGACCAACAGCACATATCTAACAGTACTCTTCGGTACTATTTCCCCAATTAAACCAGAGATCTGCATTTTTTTTACCTTTTTTCCAAATATGGCAAACTTTTACCTTTAAAAAAAAAAAAAAAAGGATTACTTCAATTTCCATTTTCCATTTAATGCACCTCCAAAAGGCTCAGACAAGCTAGCTAATTGCTAGCTTTGGTCTTTTGCTCTTTGCCAGCTTTGCCAGTTGACTTGAAATAACTAAAGAAGCAAACATTTTAAAAGCCAACAAATGTGTGTATGTGTGTGAGTTTATGTAAAGTAAAATTAAATTGCGTATGCTGTTGTAAGATGTAAAATGAGAGTTATATGATTTTATGTAACATTAAGTCTTGATTAGACCATTTGAAACTAAACAGGTTCTTAAATGCCGTGTGTAGATGAAGATGTCTATTATTTTTTAAGTCTGTATTTTCGTATCGTATTTCTGTATATGGTATAATTAATTTTTAATATCTGTGCTTAAAACTGTTACGAAAGTATACTTTTCGCGTATTTCTAATAGTCGAAATAGTAAATATTAATATATTTCAATATATTTGAACTTTTCACACAAAAAAAAAAACGTGCTCCTTAATAATTTATATGAAAATTATTTTGCAAATACTGCATTAAGAAAAACAAGCTGTGCATTCTCCTACAATATGTAATAATTTTCATAATTTCAAATGTAGCCGAAGATTACAAACGCAGAGTGAAAACTGATATCATTCGATTAGTATAAGAGCGTGTGTTATGGGTGGTAGCAGGGTATCTTCCAATCGATCTCCCACTCTTTTTCTTTCTCTGTATGTCAGTCTTCTGGCGAGACGTCATGTTTTGGTCGGCTGGTGGGTTATTGGTTTTTGGCATGGAAGCAAAACATCTACGTGTTAATTTGCATAGCAGTCGAAAATATTCTGTACGATACGAAGCAGAGTGGACTCATTATTTGGTTGGCCCGAGTCCAAGGCATATGAGAGGCTCGGTTTATCTTTAGCTTGAATATGATTTTGCTGCTTGTTATTCATGGCATTCAAAGCATAACTTTTAGATGCTTCTTTTCCGTCTGCCCCTGTCCATCTTCCTCTATCCCTCTTTCTTACTTGTATCACTCCTTGCGGTCCATGCAGTTGCCTCTGCAAAATCAGATGCACGACGGGGTGTGGTTGGGGCTGGCGTTTCAGGCTACTTGCATGACAAAAATCACAAAGCATTTCAAATGCACTTTTTCATATGCTGCACATCGCAACGGTCGCATCGCAGCGCATTGCCTCGATTTGCAGCATATACTTAAATGTTAACATGGCTTGTGTCTCCAGAACACTAAGGAGCTGCCATGCAGCAAAACACATAGATGGGCATGGCCAAGCAGGGCATTTGCATGCGTCGAGTGTCCTTTACATGTGCAACCCTTACACACACACACAAAAACATTGTTGCTGTGTTGTGTTCGCTTTCATTTAAAGTTCACCCTATTTTTGAATATTTATAGCAATTGTTGGTTTTGCTTGTGTGTTTGCTTTCAAAATTCGGTTGCCCATTTCTGCAGGCATTTGTATGGCTTTCCATATATTTTTTGTATAGTTATCGTAAGTAGACAACTTTCATGTCTGTCCAAACTGTGGAGCTTCCACTTCAATTGAGGCTAAGTACAGTCTATAAATACTTCTTGTGCAAAATGTTTATTAAGAGGCACATTCGAGAATCGTTTGAAGACCTTACCCCGCCCCCAAATATCCCCAGATACAAGCAACAAATGGACCAAGGAAGAGCTACACGGAAAGGGCCATTGATCGAAGGCGAATAGTTGTTGGCCAATTGCAAAAGTGCTTAACTGTCTCTTAGCTTTGGAGCTATTCAGATGTACATAATTTGGACTCAGCAATTTTGAGCCAAACATAAATATCAACTACTAAAAATGCCTACGACTATGGATCAGCTATTAAATACCCTGTTTTTATAGCCTTACAAAGGCTTTTATAATTTTGTCTCGAAATGTATAACGCATAAAAGGAGATATCTCCGACCACATAAAGTATATATATTATTGATCAGTATCAACTATTGCCTAGTTGATATGTTCATGTCCCGCATGTTTTTCTATCCGTCTGTCTGTTTCTATGCGAACTAGTCTCCCAGTTCTGTCGTCATGAAACTTAGCTTCCCTATTTCTGTTGCACGCAGTACATATGTCGGAACTGGTTGGATCGTACCATTATATTATATAGCTCCATAGGAACAATCGGTCGTAAAGTATGTTCTTTTATAAAAGACATTGTTTTTAAGATATCTAAGCCATTCTCGCCATCAACTATTTGCACTGTATTTTTTAAATGCGAACAAAACATTATGAGCATTATGAAAGGTTCGGTCTGCAAGGGTATGAATTCTTCGTGTTAGATGATCGATATTTTTCACTTCGATGGTATAATCCAAAATTTTAAATATTTTATGAATCGATTTACAAATAATCATTTCAATATTTTATAAGGTGTCTTATTTGACAGGTAGTCAGGTAAATATCAAGTACCTAACAATGTATTGATTCATATTAATCCATATACTTAGTATATATTCAAAGGCAGAAACTATTGTGCTCTGATACACAAGTCAGCTCTTGCTCAATTTGAGTACACAGTATAATCAAGAAAAAAATAACTGACAAAGAAAACAGAACAATGCGGTATGTTGTGGTATAGAAGATAATGTCGATTGGAAACGATTTAGTTCACTTTGAAGGCGGTTACCAAAAGCACAACCGACACACACACGCACACTCAAAAATGGTCACAAACATGCACGTTCAAGCAGCAACTAGGAGACAACAAAATATTTGCTGGCTTTCAAAATTGTTATTTTGACAATTGGCAGAGCTAGGCCAACAGTATTGAACATCATTCGCTTTGTATTTTAGCCAAGAGACACACACACAGGCACACCCAGAATAACACAGATAGATTCGCTTAACCCCGGTTCGCCGGCCAACACAGCTGCAGCTGACCAGACGATGGTTGGCCAAGATAGCACACACAAAAATGTCGAAACGAAAATGAAATAATAATTTAAATAATTCTCAAATGAAATGCCTTTTGGCCGTAGCTAATGTCGAATGCAAATGAATCCATTTGCATAACTGTACGAATACTGAATACGAATATGCGAATATTACGCGTGCCGTTCGACCAAATGTTGGAGCCAGACCAATCACATGAAATGTCATGCAATATTTTAGCCGTCTCTCTGCCTGTCTGACATATTGTGCTGCAAAATCCCTATAATTTGCAATGCTGTGAAATTCCCTCAAATAAAAACATAAAAGAATAATTAATTGTTTATATAGCTGCATACCTGATGCTATTGATCCTTGTGTGGCGACTACAGTGTACAATTAATTTAACCCATTAGATGAGCAGACATTTTAATGGTTCAAGGACTGAGCAACCTGGAAGTCGGCATACGGACAACGTGAACGCAATTAGGTAGCTATGGAAGCATTCCCGACTGGATACAGCCGGACACACGAGGGGGGCGTGGCACTGAACATAAATACTTAAATGCGAACGATGCCATGCTCAAAGATCACTAATTGTAATTTAATTTCCAATTAGCAAACAAACTAATGCCAATTTAGAAACGGCAACAAGGAAAACGACTCCTGTAAGCGGAGCTAAATGACACGTAGTTGAAAATGGTATCAGACAGGCAGCTGGCCGGGCCAAGGCAGGTTGGGCTTGGCCGGGTCAATGGGTTGGGTCAGGGCCATTCAAAAGCAAACCTGCTGGCTACACTCTCTGGAAATACATATATCTGTCTGTTTCAGTGACTCTGTGTGTGAGTGTGTGTGTGTGTGCATACGCAAAATTATACGCCTGACTACATCGAAAAGTTAAACATGCTAAACATGTCGATGTCCAGTATTCCGCCCACAGCATTTCATTCGTATCCACATTCACATCATCCTCATCATGGTCCTCCCACTCTATTGTTTTAGCAGCTTTAGTAATACAAGAATCGTCTTCCTCTCTCCTCACATATAACAGCCAGTGGGCATCTACCCGAAGAAATACGAATGGGCCGCACGTCCACTGAGCGGCAATGGCGCCTTACAACTGGATCTACATCCGCCGCCTCCCATGCAAATCGGCGGCGACTGCTCCCTGTGGATACGCTCGGCCACCCTGGACTTTGACGACGGCCTGTGGGAGTGCCAAGTGACGGCCAGTGATTTTACCGCACAGGACGCGCTGACCAGTCAACCGGTGCGATTGGTTGTACGTGGTGAGTGTTAATCCAGCAGCTGAAATCAATGTCGCCCAACGTGGCGTATGATTAATGTTTGGGCTTCATCCTAGAAATGCAACTGGTAGCGCTTCTAATTCAATATATCTTCGCACGAAAAAGCTTTAGAACTGCGTTACAAAATGAGTAAATCCTTAAAGGAGACGTGTCCGAGTTTATAAGTTATATTTTATTGAAGGGGAATCATGTTTTTTTTTTACATATATTTTTTGTTTGAATTATTTTTACTCATTTGATCAGCATAATCAGATCTTATATATTATTTGAACTAATATTCTCCGATTTTTGATGCTAATGACTAAGGAAGGGTGAATGAATATATTTAGAAATCAACTTAGATTTAGTTATTACGTTAATTTATTAGTAGATCAGCACACTTTTGAGAGCTGCATTTTTTAAAGCTATTTTTTACAACTTGTCATGTACAAATTTTTTCCTACTGGCTTACATGTGTTGAAGGAATCTAATACCCATATAATATAAAATCAAATATCTGTTGAAAATTGCGATCTTGTATCAAATTCCTCTTTATCAATTTTATCTCATTAAAATTGACCAACCGGCAGAAGGTCGCATCTTCCATCGCTTAAAAAATGTACATATAATCTGGCTCAAGAGTGTATAAATATATACTTAGGGGTATCTCTTAGTTGGGCACTTTCTACAAGAAAATTCTTTCTTGTTTGTTTTATAAAATATTTTTGTGAAGCTCATCAATTACGATATTAAGTATGCTACAGATTAAAATCGTTTCGAATAAGGGAACTAAAGCCATGTGGCTTACTTAAAAAACACGTGCTTTATTAGATATATGGATATTTGGCACTCCAAAAATAACAGTGGCTTTTACTTTAAACTGGTGTTAAGGGTTGTCCGTTTGATGTTCTCGTGCATATCAAATAAATTAAATAGCAGCCAAAGAGCAGTCTTCGGTGAGACGTGTTAGTTGGGGGCTTCAATTAAATTTACCCTCGAGCTGCTCGCAGTGCTGACATTTATTGCTGACCCCAAGAGCCGTACTACTAATCTGTGTATACCATTTCTCTCCTGTTTTTCCCACACACACATTTAGTGGCGCCACAACGTCCACGTCTGGAGTTTGAGAGTGCACCGCTGCCGCCGGGCCACAATATCACGGTAGACGCCGGCGCCGTGGCGACTGTGAAATGCGCCTCACATTATGGTAATCCGCCTGCAACGCTCAAATGGTATTTGGGTAAGTAGCGGGGTTGTGCGGAGATGGGGGTTGGGGCTGGCAGTTGTTATCCTTTGATTGCAGTTGTTATCTTGTCTGGCTGTGATAGTCGTGTTAATTAATTTGAACGATTTGCTCTCGACAGGCGACCAGGAAATCTCGCCCATACACCCGCAACTGAATGCCACCGAACCGGACAATACACGCACCTGGTCAGCCACTTCGGTGGTGCAGGTGTCCGCAATGCGCGAGCGACACGGCGACATACTGCGCTGTGTGGCGTTCCATGAGAACTACGAAGCCAAATCGGTACCAGTGGAGGCCCGTCTCGATGTCAAATGTAAGTCCAAAAAATAAAATAATAGCAAAAACAAGCAGAGAAAAGTTTAGTCACCAGTCTCCGGCTAGACGAAGGAGCGCGTCCCTTGGGCATGGTCCTTAGCTTGGCCGGCTGAGCTGATTGCATTACGTTGCATTTGGCTTAAAGTCAAAAACTAAAAGGACATGGCAAACAGCTGTAACAATTCAATTAGCCACAATTTGCAGCAATTTCCTGTTTTGTTAAGCAATTCAAGATTTTTGGCCCCAAGACGAGCAGAAGGACAACTTCAATGTTAGTTGCTTGTTGACTTGTTTTTTGTGCTTGTTTTGCTTGAGAGTCAACTATTGCTTTTCTTCTCATCCCCTTCTTGTGCCTTTTGCAGACGCGCCAACCATTCGTCTAATTGGCTCACCGGAAATCGACTTGGAAGAGGATAAGGATGCGCTTGTTCTGCGCTGCGTGGCCGATGCCAATCCGCCGGCCAGCATCGTTTGGCGACGTGCCGGACGCTCTGAGATAGCCAGCTTGCAGGTAAGCCAGCATCAGCCCGCCCTCCCCCTTAACTCTCTATAGCAAACCCATTATCCTGAGCAAACCTATAGACCGGCAGCGTGGCATCCTGGCAGCCAGGTTCTATTCCAGCTTGTTGTTTATGTTGCTACGAAATTTCGACGTCGCTTGCCTTATTTATCTTAAGTGTAGCAGAAATTTGTAATTGTATTAAATTGCCATCTCTCTCTTTCTATCTGCTTACCCGTCTCCCTCTAGGAAACGCTGCAGTTGCGTCCCGTTGGACGTCGCGACGCCGGACTGTACACCTGCCAGGCACAGAACTCGGTGGGCACCTCGGAGCAGCTGTCGGTGCAGTTGGACGTGAAATGTGAGTCTCTTATAATATTTATCTTGGCCGCGATTGTTGTTGTTTCAGCATTTGCTTGGCTAACTTTTGCTTAATTTTGTATTGACGGTCGCTTCTCTGTTTATTCTGCCATAGATCCACCGAAAATTATTTCAGCCGGCCCGGACCGTCTCACAACAGCGCCGCTCTTCAGTCCCGCCGCCTTCGAATGCGTCGCCGATGGCAATCCCATGCCAGCCTACAAATGGGTCCAGAGGTGAGTCCAAGGCCCCCAGCTCCAACCATCCGTGGAATGCACAAGATGAAGGCTACATCAATTTTTGCGTTGCATACTTTTGGGCGTCGTGGGGATCACGCAGCCGGAATGCGTATAATGCTCTATATATGCACTGCAACCAGAACACGCGCATTCGAAAACTCCCTGTGGCGTTAATTAAATCCTTCAGCATTCAAGGCTGCATATACGTAATATTTGCGCACATCACATACAAAGCCCTTAATATGATGTTGCTTTATCAATATGCCGTGGCTTGTTGACGCAGCTCACCCGGCGCATAAGTAATATTGCATGCAACGCAAATAGAAAGTCTGTCTGAGACGCGTTCATACATATATGTATATGTTTTAAAAACCCAATACTTAGCGGTTAAACAGACTTTATACTCTAAAGAGGTTTTGCTTAGCTTACCCACTAATAACTATTTTCTGGAAAGATAAACTATATCGATTTTAAGACTAAAGATTTTTGATCCTTAACGCTCAGACAAAATAGTTAAAAACATCACTTAATAAACTTATTTTGATTGAGAAAATCTTTGTCTAGAGAAAATCGTTGTATAGAGAAAATCTCTGTATATTTTGTGTATTCTTTGTGTATTTTGTCCATGACTAAATAATTTGATTAAATAGTGTAAAACCATTTTTGTATGCCATGTGTTAGATATACTATAAAAGTCATAGTCTTATACTCCCTATAAAAGACGCGAGCTATAAAGTCAAATATTGAGTGTCTAGTAAATATCTCGGTTATTAAGCACTACGAGAAGCTCCATAAAAATATAGCGCTCGTTTTAATAAAATAAGATCATGACATTGAATTGAAATTGAAATTTCCTGAATGCGGGTGAGCTTCCTGTTGGTGGTGCACAGCACAGTCAAACAGTAGCAAACGCAGAAGCAGCAGCAGCAGTCGCACAGCTGCTATGCAGTTGCATGCTTTTATGGCCACGCCCAACATCTATTATACTTGATGCTAGCGTCATTTTAATTAGCTGCACAGCGGAAGTCGTGCACAAAAAGGGAGAATAATGGGGAGGGTGGAAGTAGGGAGAGAGAGAGAGAGAGAGAGGCGGCGAAGAAGAGTGAGCGAGAAGTTGGGCTGCCACATTTTTGTTATGGCTCAGAATGTCAGTCTTGTGTCGGCAGCCTCTTTCTGGGACATTAATATGCAAAGCAGTGCCACACTCATCCGTCCGCTCGTACATTCGTTTGTCCATTCAACAGGCAGCAGCTCGTCATGTTGGAAAAATCGAAACACAGAGTACAGTACGTGCCACTCTGCGTTGCATGCCACCAAGCCAAACTCAGCGCCAGATCAGCAGTCTGTACGTGATTTGTGATTTCATTTGTTTGCATTTCCCTCCTCGAGGTACTCATTGGAGTTACATATGAGTGTGTGTGTGGCTGTGGGCTCTTAAGCTGATTCGCTAGAGCGTCAAATTCTAATAACAAATGCCACATGCAACGTGTTGATTTAATGAAGCGTGCCCGCGCGTGTTTATCAGAAATTAAATGTCAATTGTTGAAAACTAATTTCCACGCGTAGCCCAACCTCCCACCCACACTCAAGACACATTAAATGGCGCGTGCCTCGCAAAACCAATACGGGGCGTCAAGTGTGTGTGTGTATGTATGTGTTGTTATGTGTTTCGGTGTGTTTTCGTGTAATAAATCAATGGTGGGCGCTGTTAATAGGCTACCTATGCTGAGGTGGCGTGCATGCCAAAGGCACCGTTACCGCTGGCTAACGGTGTCCTTTGCTTTGACCCACCTGAACCACACACTGACATATGCAAATGCAAGCCACACAACCGGCCGCCACTTGGCTTGCAAATATATTTGCAGAAGGAAAAGCCCAAGCGAAGCATAGGAAAAGGCATGTCACTTTGATTTACGTGAAAATATTTCGACGAAACCTACACAAAGCCCCGCTGAATAAAGACGTAGGAAGCGCTTTGTGGTTGGATTTTTTGTCGAATTTTTGAGACTTCATTTGTGGTGCAGGATTTACATTTAAATGGCTTGCTAATTTATTGCTTTTAATTGCGTCGCGTCCCTTTAAAAGCCGCTTTAATTGACGATTTAAGCTGGAGACAGAGTCTATGCAAACTCTGTATCGAGCACAACTATGTGCGCATATCAAAGGAATTTGTCTGGGCGCAATCCGAAACTCTGGCCAAAATGGGTGTGGGTGTGGCTGTGTGTGTGTGTGTGTGTGTGTGAGTGTGTGTGGGTGTGGCTGTACCGAGCTGAGCTGAAAGCATTTCCCAACATAAAAGGCATTTCTCATATTAAAAAATGTATCAAATATTTTTTGCTTGCAACGAAAATATCTCGCTCACAAACGCAATTTTCAATATTGCTGCACAAAACTTGCAACAGCAGCAATGGCAAATGGCCCCAACTCTAACCCTTACTTGCAATATAGGTGCTGCGTTTTACCCACTGTAGTTATAGTTCAAAAAGCTGACAGCAAAAAAAAAATAAAATGAATAAAAGCGCAAGGCGAAACGCTTCAAAGTATGCCATGTCTTTTCTTCATTTCACCTCTATTGATCATCTCTTTAGCACTGAACTTCTATTATTGATTTTCTGATTTCTACTTGCAGAATCTCGCATGGCTCAAAGTACGTAGAGCGCGGCAATGAGCCGCGACTGGTCATCGATAATGTCACCTATGAGTACCAGGGCGAATACGAGTGCCGGGCCACTAGCTACATCAATGGGCAGGAGCGGGTAGCCATATCCGATCCCGTGTCGCTGCAAGTTGTGGGTAAGTGCGGACCACACATGCGTGTATACATAGTTATTTTTTTTATGTATGTGTTGCTGCGGGGCAACCGCAAATGCCACAGCACCGCAAAATATGACTACAGACACAACTGTCGCCAGAGCAACAGGAAAAAAAAATGGTGTACAAAAAATAGGAAATTTACTGAAAACTGAGTTACGACATGCCAAAGGACGTGAGCAACTGTTGGCCAAGCTGATGACCAGCAGCCAGTATCACTAACAAAATAAAAAAAAATGTTACCTTTTGCATGCAGAAGATTAAATACCCTTTAGAAATATGGAAATATGAAATACGAAATTTGTATTTTCGTCCGATCGGCATCTAACTAATTTTTAAATCTTCTCATTAAAAAAAGCGTAAATCTGTTGATCTCAAACGCACACATGGTTGACAATTCTTCCAATTTTCTGCAACATTGAAGAATTGTATTACCCTACTACGCGAATGCACGTAAGACCAACAGCTTGTCATGGTGTGATATTAACTATGAAATTAAGGAATTTCGGCAATCTATTTAAAAATTTTATTTGAATATATTACGTAAATATATATTAAAGCAAACGCAGAACATATTTAATGTCCACTAAGCTGTAAATTATAAAAAAAAACACTGTAATTCGTGCCCCACCATGCGATTCTCATGGACTCGATCAAGCCCTTCAGATTTTTATGCTGTGATTATAAGTATTGTATTAACATGGGTATTTATATTTTTGCATGGCTGTTTCCATGTATGTCTGCATTATTACACAAGGTATATATATAAATATATTTAATTGCCGTTGCTCTGCAATTCTTAAAAAAAATTGGAATACCCTATGAAAGGGTACGGCGCATGGTCGCTAGCAAGTGCAGAGCTACGTTTAAAGAAACAACTCAACGTGTGCACCATGTGAGCGAGCTAAGTTATTTGGCCTGCTTCTCTTACCGCCTTCCCCGCACTCCGATTACTACATCGTTCTCTATGTGTTTTAGTTACACAGTTAAGTCGCTCGCACTGTCGCTCCCCGTGCAGCTAATGCTTACTTAAAATAACACAAAACTCCATTAAAAACTGCAACCGGAAAGCGCGTCGAAAACATTTTAAGCGCCTGCGATTTTGCCAATTCCCCTCCCACCCCCTAACCACCCACCCGGCAAGTTGTCGCTGCGCTACCCGCCCAATTTGGCGGCTGCAGGCGCCACACAGCAAATTTAGCAAACGGCAACTGGCGCTGGCGGCAACAGACTAAACCAAAATGTAACACAAAATCAAAATGAACTTATGACCACAAGAAAAAAAAAGCGAATGAAAACATACAAAAAAAATGCAGGCAACAAAATGAAGAAGCGCGGCCAAAATGGCAGAATATAACAACTGCCATGGCCAACACAGCCGCGGGCAAGAGTCGAAAAAGCGGGAGAAAAAAAAGACAGAAAGAGTGTTAGAGAGCGGGCGCGAGCGAGAGAGATAGCATATATATTTAAATTTAGTGCTGAATACCACAGCACGTACATAATTTATGGCCAACCAAGGACACGAGCAATTTAGCAGAGCCAGTCGGGAAAAAGTGCTATATCCTTTATGGGAATGTGTGTATGTGCACTGGCAAAAAAAATTGTATGCACGCCATCTATACATATATGTAAATATATATACTTGTTTGTGTGTGTGGTGTATGTGTAAAGTAACTAACGAACTAGTTAACTAACAACAGAAAAAAAAATAAAATAAATTGAAAGAAAAAAAAATGCAGCTCATTATGTGCAGCTGCGCGCAGACGCCATTGAAATACCCTACAGACAACAAAGTTTGTCAACATGTTTGGTCGCGTTTTCAGCGGCACACGACATTTAAAGTGCGTTTAACCGTGTCAGATTCAGTTCCCAACAGATACGCTTAAATTGGCTTACAAAATATGCTCAACGGTTAGGAAGTGTTCTCAGTCCTATTTTAATTAACTTGACAGCTTTTTAGTAAGTAAAACCTTTTTATACTCTGTTCACCTGTTCACAAAGTAAAAAGAGACTTGCCGCCTTTCGTCCGCACTTACAAAGTTGTGCAATCTAGAGACCCCAATTACGATTTAAAGTTTTGAGGTTTTTGTCCGTGGCCAGTTTCAGAGCTCGAGACCAAGTTTGCTTGATTAATTAGTAGCTGAACGTCTTTTGAGATCGAGCCGGAAGAATTCATGCCACGCCCATTTTCCCTCCACCAAATCGCAAAAACACCATACTTTCCAAGCAATGTGTTAAAGTTGCGGTCTAAGAGTCGCCAACCAAATGATCAAGGATATCAAGTTTTAGCTTTCCCTATAGCTGCGAACAGCGTATTGCGCATTCGACTACTTCCAACATTAAATATCTTCTTTGTTTCTTGTTTAATTATACGCTCATAATATAAGCTGAAATAATTTTCGGACCCGAGAACATGTAAAATTATTAAAATTATTCAGGCTAACGCTTATTCAGGCATTGTTACATTAATTTATCAAATTAATAATTATATAAATTATAATATTTGAATGATCAAATATATATGGAACTATACAAACTATGGAACTATTCAAACTCATCAACAATGGTTAAATTTCAACAACAATTGCAATTAAATATTCTTAGGCAATTATTTGTTTTCCTATCTGCACAAAGTATTTCAGCTGCAGCTGTTCATTATAAAAGTTGCGAAACCTAATTAATATCTCAAAGGCATGTTGGAAAGTACCAAGCATACAAGACCAAATAAATGTATCTACAAGGTAACTTGTAAATAGAAGAAAAATTAAATTAGTTCTAAATAAAAAAAGTAAGAGGTTCTAGTCGGGATCTCCCGACTAGGGAATACCCTGAACCCTCTTATTCCAACGCCAAAATGCAGTTCGCGCAACGCGCTCTTTTGAAGTATAAAGATAAATTCAATAAAAAAAAGTTCCCTTGGCAGGGTTCGAACTCGCAACTAACCGTATTATTTGCTGACGACTCTACTCAGCAGGCAAACCAGCAAATAAAAAACAAGTAAGAGGTTCTAGTCGGCAGCTCCCGACTAGGGCATACCCTGAACCCTCTTCTTCCAACATCAAATGCATATATATATATTCTATTTTAGAAGCTATATGTCAAGTTTGGTGACTCTAGCTCTTATTATTTACCAAAATTGCCCAAAAAACAGGATAACGATATCGATTTTTATCGATTGCTTGGAAACGGAGTAATTTATCGATTATCGGAAACAAACGATCTGCGCAGGCCCTAGGAGCACCTATATCTAAAATTTCAAGTCTCTAGCTCTTATAGGTTCTAAAATCCTTGCTTTCATAGATACGGACAGACGGACAGACGGACGGACGGACAGACGGACAGACGGACAGACAGACAGACGGACATGGCTAGATCGACTCGGCTATTGGTGCTGATCAAGAATATATATACTTTATAGGGTCGGAGATGCTTCCTTCTGCCTGTTACATACATTTGCATTTTGCACAAATACAATATACCCTTTTTACCCATTTTCAATGGGTTCAGGGTATAAAAATAATATTTTGTAGACAATTGATGTATGAGTAATTTTTTCCAGCGGTTGCTCGTTACTAACTTCTACTTTTTTTCTATTTTTTTAAGGTGCTCCGCAAGTGCTTCGTCTGCATCCCTCCATGCACACAGTATCCGTGAAGCGCGGTGAACCAGCCAGCCTCACGATGGTCGTCTGCGCCGATCCGCGACCGCAACGCGTTGCCTGGGAATGGGGTTCGCTACGTCTGGAGGCAGGTTCGGGCATAGGTGCGTATACTTAGCGCAGTGCGCCTCATTGGGCAGCTAATGAAAATGCAATTAGATGCATTGTTGTTTTCCTTTTTTAATAAGCTCAAACTCAATTAACGCATCAAACGCATTGCACATCACGCACAGCCAAAAGGGCTAGAGGGAATATTGTTTCTATGTGCGTTGGTTGCCCTGCTGCTCGGTTGAGTGCTCATTAACAAACATTTTCGGCAAATTTGACATTGAACAAACGTCGAGCGTGCTCCGTGAAGCTCAACAGGGGATACCAGGAGAGCGGGAAACAAACGTGCCGCACGCTGCACAAATCAAGACAAATTACATGTCCAGAGACGGGAGCTTCGACGCCAGAATCAGACGAATGCCACTATCATGTTGGGCTAGTGTGGTATTAGCATTGGCAGTGGGGCTTGGCCCAGCACTATGCGTAGCCCCGTCCATTGCCGGCGCTCGAGCAGACTTCCCACGCTTGTCAGTTGCCGGTAATCCTGGCTCCACCAGACAACGACACAACCAAGAACCATATGCTGCTCGTTTTTCACTTTAAACTGCATTGCGTAGCGTCTTTTGTGGGCCAGCTGCAGCTGCAGCCATCTCCAACTTCAGCTGGCAACAAATTTCGCGCATTACTCTTCATTTTCAGCTTGTCTGCATGCGCATCCGGCTGCCCGTCCGTCCGGCTATCCATCAGTCCGGCAACCCGTCTGTCCGTCTGTCCGTTTCTCTGGCCATGCGTGTAATCCGGCGTACTTGCCACTGACAGGCATCAGGCGAATCGCATTGCATGCTTAACCGCATGCTGCGTGGCATGGCAGATTCTTGTTGCGCATACGACACGTTGGCTCGGTTCTTTAATTATTCATATTTTGTATTATTTTTTCACTAATGCTGAGCTACGCACTTCATGAAAAACTGATATCACTCTCTCGCTTCCCCTCTCCATTTTTCTTCAGATCGCTTTCGTGCCGACGATATGCTGACGGATTCTCGCGAGGATTGCTATCTCTCTACATTGCACATACACCACACCGATGAACACGACTCACGGCCCTACTATCTTGTGGTGGAGAACGAGCGGGGCACCGATCGTCATGCCATTCATTTGATTGTGGAGGGTACGTTTGCAGGTGCATAGTGTTTTCTTTATTTTTCCTACCATTAACAATTTAGTTTGCAAATGCACACTAGCACACTGAAACTGTTTTCCTGCAAACAATTTATTCTACCGCGGAAGATAAGAAAGAGATTGTAGATTCAGAGATTTATTTACTATTCTTATTTAGTTCTTTTTTATACCATTTTTTCTTTATTCTTTCATTTCTAAAATGATCAGCGCAAAACCAATTAATTTCCATATATATTCCAATCTATCGATTCTATCAATTCTATCTTTCTGCTGAATTATTTAAAAGAAATACTAACAATTGTTTGCAGGGATGTTTTTCAGCCATTTTGAATGGGTATCTGCAGGTGTATGCGACCCTGTGACATACTCATTGACAATTATTAATTACATTTCATTTCTGCACAATGCATGCCAAATAGCAGAACTCATTAAATATTTTTCATGCGAACACCATATTAATTATTTTAATTAAAATCGAAATAAATATACAAATTAAAATTCCTTTTACGCCTGCAAAATCAACGCCATCGAATATCAACCTTAACAACAACCAAAATAACAACAAAAACCTGAATAATTGACACAATTACCGCTTTTGGAAACGCACAGAACCTTTGGAGATGAGCTACCTGCTGGGAGTGGCCGGCGGCTGTATGGCCGCCATTTTGATCCTGATCTGCCTGTGCATCTACGCCGTCAAAAGCAAAAAATGTTGCTTCAAGGGTAAGTGGAATTATTACGTGGATTGTTGTTGTGTGTCCAGCTCGAGGAAGCTGCTCATTAAAAATTAAAACTCAATTCGCTGCAGTAACAACAATGGCAACAGCAACAACAATTGCAACTGCTGCAACTGTGGGAAAACCGGGCGGCATATTAATTACAAGGCCCTCAAAGCGAATACGCGTCCCAACAATTAAAGCATTTTCTTCATTATGCCACCAGATGGCGTTGAACTTTACGCTTACCGCATGCCACATTTTGTTGTCATACTAATTGCAAAAACACAAAAAAATACTTGCAGCAAAAGCCAAAAGGGAGAGAGTGAGATAGAAAAACAAAAACAGAAAATCCGCGCCTTTTATTTATTTTTTTTTTCCTGTATTTTTTTTTGTTTTTGGTTTCTTTGAAACTCAAATAAATCTCATAAAATATTCATTAGCGCATTTTGCGCCGGCAACGCCTGCGGTCAGCTGGTCACAAGACAAAAGGGTTAAAGTCCTAAGCACAGCTTTTAGTTAAGAACAACATATTTTTTGTTGAGCCCACCCTTAAAATATTTCTGTACTTGCATGCGTCTGCTTAGAGTCGTTGGATTTTTGGGCTAACTGGACTCTGGACTGCTGCGGCTAATTAGAAATCAAAATCTCGCCGCAAAACTTTTGCTCAGCGCGCAATTAAAATGCACATTTGTAAAAACAATTTACAAAGCAGCAAAAGAAAAACAATTTGGCAAAAGAAAAAATTAAAGGAAAAAAAAAACAGAAAAGGAAAACTTTGCCAAAAAAGAGAGTTTTGTGGCTGGCTTGAAATGAATTTACGCTCAGGGATTTGCGCTGGCCGATTGCCTAGCTGAAAATACAGCTGTAAACCGTAAACTTCGAGTCGTAAATAAAGCCAAATCCCGAGTAGCCCTGCGCGTGCAATTTCTCAGTTGTCAATCAAAATGTCAATTTTCACACAGCGGCAGCAAACGTGAACATCTTGAGCAGCTGACGCCAATTGCCAAGTTATCAGATGCCATTTGACAGATCTCCAATTGCCCAAGCTACCCCTATCCCCTACACACATTCACATACACACAGAAGTGTGCAATTCCATCTAGTCGAAATCCATCAACATTTTTCCGCTCTTTTAGCTGCCTTTAGGCAACTTTACACCTTTTGGCCATCAATAAGTTTACGGCTCGTTTGTGAAAACGTAGCTGCAGATACAAAATGTATCTGTATCTATACGTGCGTCCGGCCATCCATCTATCTAACTACGTCTGCCTGTCGTATCTGTCTACATGCGCGGATAGTTATAATTTTTAGTGGATGTATTTTAAAATTCACTCTATAATGTACATATGTATAATATATGGTACACATATATATATATCTAAAGCGAAAGAGTTCTCATATATACATTATTTTTGCTCGCCTTTGCAGGTTCCACGGGCTATAAATCATCGGATAAGGACAGGTAAGTTGAAGCGAAGCATACATACACACACGCACACGCACACACACACACACATACACACATACACACACTCACACACACACACATACACACACTCACACACACGCACGCACACACATACAAAATGGCCGGTTATGATACATTTTTATGGAATCGCGCTTGCAACGCAACGCATCGAACAGTCAACAGGTGGCGCTGGCGTGCCAATTTATGCGTTCCGCATGGCAAACTACTTATACACATACACACACACACCCACGTTCGCACACTCGCTTATACCTATGAATAATGCGCGCGGTGTGTTTGTGCGGTGTATGAAATATCCAGCGTTTTTCATATATTCAATATTGCAAAGTCGACTTTTGAATATTTCTCTATTTTGCCGCCCAACGTCGAGCAAACGCACACACTCACACACACACGCCCAATCGCTCATTGGCGCCCCTCATTTTGTCCTGACATGAGTTATGAGGCAGTGGCGGTTATTTGGCTCGCCGCTATGCCGGCCCCTCGTTGTGTCTTGTTGCCACATTTAAAAATTACCATATTTTATTTATGGAGCACACTCTCGGACAACGCGCGCTCACACACACATGCAAGCCAGAATGCGAAATCGCATAGCATAATTTTTGGGGCGCACCATTATGGCAACGCATTTCAGTGTGTGTGTGTATGTGTGTTGATATAGCGGAAATGGATTTTGAATTTCCGTTATAGGTATAGTTGGCAACACAGCAACCATGGCCACATTTCAAGCGGCATTACAAAACCGCCTAAAACTAGCCCCCAAAGCTAACAACCTAATTTCGAATATTTTGGTGTCTATCAAGGCGAAACGAAAGATATTGTCAAACGAAATCTCCTTCGAGGATGGGTTTTAATAACCCACGCCTACCTCCGCATCAAGTCAACAATTGCCGCCAGGCATATGAAAAAGCTGTTTAGTTATGCGATTGGCATGAAATTCGCCAATCAAACTGCGGCAAATTAGAAAATAAAAGAAATTTCCGGTTAGCAGAAGACTAAATACTCTTGTCTTATCTGTCTAAAATAATTACGACTTACGAATTGGAACTCACTTTTCGAACGATTTCTAATGATACTCTTTATTGAAGTCTTGTAAAACAAAAGTTTTTATACTTATAAATCTAACCAATCTTCGCATGGCATGGCTATATATGGTCATACTTCATGAAGGTAGCCTTAAAATAAACCAAACTTTATTGCATAAAAAACAGGTCTTATCGAGTCAACTATTGATATCTTCCTTGAAAACACAGCTCGAACAGAGTTTATATTAACGTATGCAAGCTTATAAGAATCTAGTCGCTTTTCCTACATGCCCTAAACAATTGTCAACCGGCCTTATTGCAAAAATTGTCGATAACAATTTCTTGTTTTCTCTTGTTTGATTTTTGCCCGCAGCGAAAAGGCTGATTTGAAATCACGCTCGGATAGCACAAGTGGCCCCCAAGGTGATTCAATTTACACAACGCCTGCCGGCTTCCATCATCACCAGCAACAACAACAGCAACAACAGCAGCAGCAGCAACAGCAGCAACAACAGGCGGCCGCTGCGGCGGCAGCGGCGTTGCACGCAGCCTCGCAGCATCCACAGCAACAGTATCCGGGACATGGATCGCCGGAGGCAATGAAGGTACGCATGGCTGCAATGATATTACAACCGCCCACTAGGGTCTAGCAGGCAGTTGATAACGAAAGCAACGAGCTTCAGTATCAACAACAGCAAGCTCAACAACAACAACAACATGAACATGAACATGAACATGAACATGATAATAGTAATGCCAACACTAACACCAACACAAACAACAACAATAATATAAATACCACAACGACTGCGACAGCGACTGCGATTGCAACACTGACCAATAGTAGTAACAATAATACAATAGAGTTAGCCAAAGCAACGCCTGTTGGCAACAGCAGCAATAGCAGTAACAGCAGCAACATGTTGGCTGAGGCGCTCGGCCGCAGCAACAGCTCACATAGCCTAAGCCAAGCCAGTACGCTAAATAGTAGCAAAAATAGTAGCAGAAATAGCAGCAGCAAAAGTTGCAGCAATAAACAGCAGCAGCAGCAACAGCAGCAGCAGCAGTTGCCCACTTGCGGGGAACTTGAGAACAACATGGACTGCGAGCTGAAGCCGCAGGCCAGCGGGAAGATACTTAACTTAAATGTAACCAGCGAGGAGCTAGTAGATAGTCAGATCGTGAGGTTAGACCATAGCTCAACAGCTGGTCAGCTGAGCGCTGAGGAGACTCAGCTGTTGCTGCAGAAGCTGAGCATTAACAATCCGTTCTATCGCTTTCGCAAGCAGAGTAACTCCCTCAGGGAGCTGCGACGTATGCGTAGACGCGCGCGTCGCCAGCTGCGTCGCCACAGATCCGAGGCAGACCTCTTGCCTCACCCACAGCAACACCAACACAGTGAAGCCAAAGTTGTAGTTGTATTAGACAGTAAGCAGCATTTAACCTTAAGTAGTTCTAAGCGAGGTACGAGTAGCATTAAGACTAGATCCGTAAGCAGCCTGACGCCTGACAGCTCCACGGTCATCACGAATCCGTTCAGCATCTTTCACGATGATGAGATACTCACCCTGGGCGTTAATCCTCGTCTGCGCAGCGTTAAAAGCCCCGCGGCCGCCATACGTCCAACGCAACCGCAGCGCAGCGGCAAGGGCCTGCGCCGGCTCTTTGATAGACAAACAACTCCCACTCCAGCCAGTCATCAATACCTACAAGGTGTGCCCGTGCGCCGCTTTGAGCGGCAAGACTTCAATCAGGAGTCGAGTCCGACGGGCAAGCCAAAGCGCGCGAAGGCTATCTTCAAACAGCTTTCCCTGCGGAAGCTGCACAAGACGGAGGAATCGTCGGTGCTGCCCAAACTCAAGCTTAGCTATCGTTATCCGAACCGCACGCAGAGCATACAGAGCATGCGCACCGCTGGCAGCGGCGGTTACGATATACAGCACACGGCTTACAGGCCGCGACTGGTCTCCACTACACCAAAGTCCAACTACTTCGAGCGGTTGCAGGCGAAGACTAGGCTGGGCATACAAAAGATACGCGACAAGTGCCGCAACTTCAAAGCAAGCAGCAGCGACGCCAGCAGTAGTGGCGGCGGCGGCGGCGGCGGCGGCAGCGAATTTAGTGGATTTCACACGCTCGCCAAGGATGAGAGCTTCCGTTTCATCAGCGATCGGGCGCACATCTCCAGCTACGAGTCGCGCTGCGCTGCCGCCCATGCCGCCGGCAAACAAGCGACCATCTACAAGAGCTACAAGTCGGAGATAGATCTGAGCAAGAATCTCCACTACCTAGAACACTATCTGGAGCAGAACTTCGAGCAGCAACTGAGCAGCAGCAAGCAATCGGCTCACTCTGTGGGCCGCATCAGTGGCGCCCAGCGCCGAGGTCTGGCCACCACACAGGGCATAACAGAGACAGAGACGGAGACAGAAGCAGAGACCAAAACGGGCGGGGGCACGCCGCGGCGACGCCACAAACGTAGCCAGTCGCAGGCCAACAGCCAGACAGTCGGCAGCATCAGATGTGGTTCCACGGCTAACTATGAAAACCTGGGAACACTGCCAATTTCGGCGCGTGCAGCGGCACACAACAAGGCAGTCTTTCACTCGGACTCACTGAGCAGCTCAGACTACGCCTCCGTATTCAGCGGACCAACGTCGGCGAAAAGGGAGACAGCACTGCAGGCCGAGAATAGAATGGAGGATGTGCAGGATGTGAGACAGCAGCAGCAGCAGGAGTCTGTGCTTAAATTACGCTACGAGCATCCGGACAAGATGTGTGAGTACTACTTTGATAATCTGACCAGCTATGCTTTGGCGCTAGAGGAGAGCGAGGACCTGCTGCTGGCCGAAAGCGCCAAATCTGCACGTTTATTTTACGACGACGAGGACGACGACGACGAAGAGGATGCTGATGCTGATGTTGATGATGCACTGGCCACTAACGAGCCGGATTTTATGGCGCGCGACATTCGAATTCGCGTCAAAGTCAACGAGTGCGAGGATGCTGATTGGTACCAACGCCGACAGCAGCAACAGCGGCAGCAGGCAACATCGTATAATGAGAATCTTGCCGAGAGCACATTCTATCAATCGCTCAATCAGCATTTACAGCGACAGGCAATTGCAGTTGACGACAGGCACAAGGCGGAGACGGCCTCGGCCCCGGTGGCATCCCTCGGTGGTGAAAGCTACTTGGCCCACTTCGAACGCAGCCGCAGCCGCAGCGATTTTAAGCGGATCGAGCGCAACAGCCTGCTGCGTCCAAATGAAGAGCTAGAACAGTTTTACGCCCGCGGCGAATACTATGGCTTCGGTAGCAGTACTGGCGGTGGCGGCGCCGGCGGCTCGGAGGTCGTGTATGCAGCCAGGCAGCGTCGCGCCGACCTCATGGAGGCGCATTACTCGCGCAGCTATCCGACAGCTGCGACAGCTGCAACAACTCCGCTTCAGTTGATGCCCAGCAGCGATGCGCTGCTTGACCAAGCAGACGGCAGCGGGCTGACCAACTACAAGCGCAGCTGCGCACTGAGTGCTGCTACAACGACAGCAGCAGCTGCAAAAACAGCAACAGCTGCAATCACATTGTCCTCAACTAGCATCAGCGAGCTTTCTTCGATGCGACCAACCAGTGATGTCCTATATGCTACCAGCAGCAAACAGCAGCAGTTTCAGTTGCATGCAACAAAGCCGGAGCCAGAAATTGCAACGGACACAACAGCAGCAGTAATGGCGCCTGCGGCTGCTGCTGGCCTGTCAGCTGGAAATGCAAACACCAATACGAGCGCAAATAATCGGTACATGTTGGAGAATTTGCGCAAATATTACGCAAATCAGCAGCAGCATCCGCCCGCACACTCTGTCAACTCGTCGTCGCTGTCCAACTCATCATCCTCGAACTCATCCATGTCGCAACAGCAAAAGCTGCATTTACCCACCGCACAGCCGCATCAGCCGCACAGCTCTAAACAGCAGCAGCAGCTCCATTTGGGGCCACCTCGTCGCAATTCGAGCGCTTCGAATGCATCCTCGACAGCGGACAACTTTGACAGCTTCATTGCGCTGCGCAATGCCACCACCAGTACGCCCACCACAGCGGACTACATGACCAAACAGCAACTGCAGCCGCATCGTCGCAGCCACCATCAGGGCGCAGCAGGCAAGGCGCCGCTAATCTCGGCGCTAAACTATTACGGCCAGGGACTGCCCAGTGGCAGCGGCAGCAGCACCAACGGCGGCAGCGTACTCACCTACAATGGCAAATTATCTGCCACCGCAATGTTGTCACAAGTAAATTTGGCCAGATCTTCTGCGCTGCATCAGCAACATGCCACGACACCAGCAACAACAGCCACAGCAACGCCAGCAGCATCCGCATCTGCGTCCGCAACCGAAAGCTTCATATTGGAATATGAGTGTTAGCGCACGATTAAATTACTATCGATCCATTGGGGGCAGCAGCTCATCCTCCTCGTCCTCCGTTCCCTCAGGGTGGCTCACCTGTCGACAGCGAATCGGGAATTATTTCACCCGGCGTTTGTCCGTCCGTCTGTCCTTTTGTCCTCTGTGCCGTGGGTACATTTTATGCCATGCCCTGGATTTCCGTTTGCCGAAATTACAATTACAAATTGTTAACGCAACTGATTGGATTAACGCCACCGCTACCGCACCCCACACGCCAACCCGCCTCATACTGCTTCCCAATGGACCAGCTTAAATGTGTACATGTGTGTATCTGATGCAGAGTCCCCAGGGCTAATGCTTGGAATACCTTATGAGAATACCCGATATATCTCTTGTTAGCACATAGAAATCTAAGATTAACTGAAATATCTATCCTGTGCTGTAAACGTAAGCTAAGGAATCGTAAGTGTTTATTTACTGCGGTTGATAAATGCTAAAGTACATGACCTTCATGGCATATAGCCGTATGTATAGCTAGGTATACATTATCGTAAACTACTGACAATAATACCATTCAATTACCGATTACATTCATTAGCCAAGTTAATAGCGTATATGAAAAATGTATTTGACATTGAAAGAAATGCATGAATCAAATTTATAGTTGTATCATCAGAAAAATCATAAGCCTTATTCTCATACACTTACTGCTACTACAATATATATATACCAAATTTATTCTATAGAAACCGATTATCGAATTTTGACAAGCTAAACTCCAAGCTAATCGTTACAACTTTTGATATATATATATATATATATATGCGGATATGGATTGTTCTTAAAGCTGTTAAGTTTTTTAGTTTAGCCTAAAATATAATCTCAAACTAAAAGTTATTGAATAGCTAACAAAGATCTGCAATGATTACAAAGGGCGCAATACCTAACTTTAAATACTTTCAGCATTTGTTTGGAGTACTCAAAGGTACTTAACGTAGTCGTACTTAACTAATCCCGACAAAAAGTTCGTATAACAGAAGAAAATGAGTATCATTTAGTTTGATTATTATTTTTGCTGAGTAGTACAGTGGAGATCTTTATCTAGATATCTAAGTTTCCATACTAAACGTAAATTGTGAAGCATGCCTCAAAAAATAAAAAATAAATTACTAAATGATACAATTTTCAAATGCAAAGCAATTACGTTTAATTGAAAACTTAAATAAAAAATATACTAATAAATAAGGAAAAAATACATTAAAAAATGGCGAAAACAACAATTTGAGCTTCCACGTTGACAGAAAGGAAATTAAAACGGCTGCATTAAGAGACAGCAACTAAATTTACAACAGCAACAACAACAATGAGCGGCAAATGCAATGACAAAGCGCATAAAATATGAAAATCTGTAATTACGCTGAAAGCAAATAAAAAATAAGAGAAGAAGCACAGGCGCTTGTCAGCAACATATTAAATTTATTTATTTATTGCGGCAAAAGCGAATTACGTAAAAGGATGCTTGTGGCTCAGCTGGCGTCGCGGACACACATATAAATATATCAAAAAATATAATATATACATATAAATATATACATATTTACCAACTATTAATGTGACGTCAAAGTGTTTAACTTTTAAGTGAAACTGTAAATACAACTACAACTAATTGACATGCAACGAACGATAGGCGACAAAAGCGACACACTCATTAATTTCTCATTTATACACGCTATCATACACTGCGAATGCGCAATATTTTCAATCATAACTTAAAAAAAAACACAAATAAAAAATGTTGCATAAATATTTTTTTGACGTTGCGCTGAAAACTGTTTCGCTGCTATTTGAATTTCCGCAGTTACATATTAAAATTATTGCGTATGTGACATGTGCTCGTATTTTTAACCCTCCCCCCACACAGTCTCTCCCTGGCCATCTCTGCACTGCCACCTCGCCCATGCAATTATCTGTGTGCGCGCAATTTATCTCATTTGCGGCTGAGTTATTTCCAACTGCAGCAAATAACACTTTCAGACGAGCCAGTGCCCCGCACCGCAACGTCGGCCCTCCGCAATTCCCCGCGTTTGTATTTCTGTGCCACATTTTCCTTTTTTTCTCCTTTTTTCCCCTGTGTTATTGTTGGACAGCCAACACACTTTTCCGCTTAATTTACTGGCTGGCAGCTGGCTTCGCGTTGGCCCCGAAAGAAGATGCCAGTGTGCCACAGTGGCACAGCACTGGCCGGTTGACAACAGCAATTGCTGCATAATGCATATGCCCGGGCACAGTTTGGACCATGTTGATCCTGGCTGGAAGCTCGATACGCGGATGCTGTTGCTGCGGTGTCTGCTGCAGCCGTTTCAATTGCTGCAACTGTGACAACAATAATAATTCATGGCATGCTTTATAGCTGGCCATCAACTTATCGGCAGTTGCTGCCACCCTTACCCACCGGGCCCTACCCCTTCCTATCCAGCCAGTCCTCACATCAACAGCCAGCAAATAAATTAATGAAAGTCAAATAAAAATTTCTTTGATGCGGCAAATAGAGTTGGTTCAGTATCAGCCATGCAACAGCGGGTGGCATAAGCCTTTCAATTGTAATACAAGAACAGCTACAAAAACAACAACATAAACAGGAACTAAACTGAATAAGTAAACGCGTAAAGTTCCTTGTTAAATTGATAGCAGTTAATTATGCGTTTGATTAAATAGGCAACAGTTTATCTAATTGAATTATTGTACTTGAACGGTGAACTAAACAGTTTTTGGGTTGGGCAAAACGTCAAGAAGAAGACTGCTAAAAAAAATAAAAACGACGAGTCAAGACAGAGACAAATACACAATACTAATCATATAAACTCATGATCGAATACTATTATTAAATCAACTACAGAAGCTATATTCCATATATACATACATATATATATATACGTTTTTCCCTCCCATTTTCTATGCCTAAGCGTGTGTTCGTGTTTACCATTTGTTTTAAGTATTTGCAACAATAACAACAACAACGACAGCAACAGGCAACCAAAAAGCGCAGCCTCAGCTGCACCATTTATCATTTATTATTGTATAATTAAGTAATCGTATGATATTTAGTACTATTTTAACTTAGGACATCTTGCTGCATTCGTCTCTATTATTTCAAGTGTGCTAATAATGTTTATTTAGTTTATGATCATTTTCTATTAGTTCTTTATTAACATTAATTCAATGAGATTTACAATGGGTTGTGATAATAAACACACACACACACAAACACTCCTCACACACTCACACAACACACATGCATTTGTAATAATCTCAGACACCAATTACACCGAATTGCCAACGGAATGTGTACCCCTCAAACTCTAAAAACTAAAAAAAAAAACAAAACAAACAAAAAATTAAGATAACAATATGTAAAACATCCAAATCAAAGCAAGTAACCAATAATATCTGCATATATACTATATATAATAATTATCAGTAAATCGTAACCGATGTATGTGCTCCATGCATTTTGTGCATTCTCTTTGATAACTCTCAAAACTCGATTCGTATGTACCTTGTGTTACTTTCCAGTTCTGGGATCTACAAATTGCCTTTTCCGTTTTCTGTCTCTGTTTCTATTTTTTGTGTTTGTGTTTGATATCGTTCTTTCCACCGACTTTTCCTTTGACACTTGTGCTACTTTTTTGCATTACATTTTTACTGTGTCTAAGAAGCAACCGATACAGCAATCACGGAAATCCCCACGCTCACCCCACTTTTGTACTACTACCTTTATTTATTCTATATTTATTCCCGACCCAGTTCCAGTTCGAAATATTTGTTGCCTGTTTTGCACGCGATTTGGGCGCGTGCTTCGCGCGTTCTTAACAGCTATCATTTTATACAACATCCAACATGCAACACACATATTTGTCGTTTGATTAACAACCTTCAACTTGTTTATAGACTTTTTATTTGTCAAACTCTGTTAGTTTTATTTGTTTATCGTGTAACCGAGTGTTGCGGCATGTATGTTTGTTATGTTTTCATGCGTCAGATTTAGTTGCTCTTTATAGGCAAATACATGCAGGCCTATGTATGTATGTATTCTCATTTTATTGCCTTACATCATCATAAAGTTTAAAGTCGTCCTGTGCCTTGCATTATCACTTGCGTACTATGCATACATAATAAGTATAAATATTCTTTTCCGTTCCTTTTTTTTTTGTCTTTTATATTTATCTGCTCGGCATGTCTGTCTGGGTGCCTGCCTGTGTGTGTGTCTTTGAATTTCATAATTTTATTTAACGAGCCATCAAACTTCATGCAATTGGGTGTCGAGTGAAACAGATTTTGCTGCATTCAATTAACCCCGTCAATGAATTGAATGAATTAATCCTTGAAGCGCATAACTTACATTTGTTTTGCTTTCAATTTTTGTTTGTTTGTGCATCAAGACTCATAAATAAATGCCAGACACGCACCAAAAAACTTGGCCAGTACATAAATCAAAACTTCAAGTTCTGGCTATTCAGCTACGCCCAGCCCCGCCTTAACGCAGCAGTCAAAAGACTTTGGCCAACATAGAAAACTTTATTGCCGCTCTTTGTTCTCTGGCCATCTCGTACCATCCAGTTAACATTGCGTGCAATTTGTTAAAGGATGAAATGAACAAAAGCAATTTCATTGCATCATTACACTATTTGGTGCAAGCAAGTCGTTGCATGCAACCTCCAACTTGCCACATTCTATGCACAAACTTAAGTCGACTTTCGGCACTCGGCATCAGCGTTTGCCGTATAATACATGGCCCACACTGGAGGCGCCCCTCACTTTAGTTGCATTGGTTTTCCATGCTAATAACTTAAGCCAATTAATTGTTCTGGGGCGGCATACGGCTAAAAACAATGCACAAGTTTGGCAACTCTACTTGAAGTCGTGTGTTGTTGTGTGTTGCATGTTGCATATTATATTAACTTTGTGTGCCCCCAATGCCAACCTGGGGCGATAACTCGACAAGTTCAACGGCAGCCGCAGCATCTCACTATATTTTGGCCAAGTTCACGCGGCAGGTATTTTATACATATTATGGCCAGCACATATGCACACTCACACTGACAGACCCGCAATCACTCGGCACCCAGACCCCATCCACCACTCACCCACACACTCACAAAAGCACTTGCAAACTGTTAAGCGCACTTTTGAGTCCACCCGCTCGCTCATTTCTGTTGCAAGTTGGTTAGAAAGCATTTTGGCCCGCTTTTTTTTTGTATTTTAAATTTGACATACTACTATATGCCATATGCGATGCATTAAAAATATCCATTTCACGCCCTGTCAACTCGATAAATGTGCATTAATGCATTAAATGTGGCAGTGGTGAAAATTTTAACTCTTAATTACGACCAATTAAAGCTGAATTCAGATAGCACTTAAATCAAAATGTAAAAAACTCTGCCAATAAATAGCCCAAACCAAGCGCGAACCACTCCAAAGTCCACTCAAACCACGAAACGAGATCGCAAACAAAACAAACGCAGCGCATTGCAAACAATAATAAAAACAAACAACAGCAACAACAACAAACAATATATAAAGCGCAATTATTATAATTTCATTTTGCTGTCAGTCATAAAAATTGATTTCCTTTTCACGGACCTTTTTTTATTTATTTTAATTTTTCAATTATTAAAGTGAAATACTTTTTTCACTCAACTCAAAGAATTGAAAGACTACAGTAAAAAATTTATATTTATAAATATTAGCTCTATAAACAATTACAAAATACAAACAAACAAAAAAAACTATTCAGTCAGACGCATAATGAAATTACAAAAGTTCCTCCCGGCACGCATTTTACATGTTTTTTTTGTACTATTTCCGTATAAAACGTAGTTTTTTTTTTTGTCCCTTATGAGCGTATGATAATGTTTAAAACACAAGAAATTTTTGCATTAATTTTAAAGACTGGAACGAAATAATTCATCAATTTGATTTCTTATGAATATGTCGCGCTGCTTGGTTATTTGTTTTGATTTATGTGTGTTTATTATTCTAAGTATAAATACCTACCAATTATGTCACCCCCTCTTTTATATGCTACCCCTTAACGTATACTTGATTATTGTTTTTAATTTTAATGATTAAAGCTACATTTATGCCTTTTAGTTAAAAGTAAAGATATACGAAACAGCGTGCTTGCAGAAGCCAATTAAAATTGAAATAATGAAGCCCGGCGGGTGCAATCATGATGATGTTGGTGATGATCATGTTGATGATAAATATGACGTTTGAATCTCAAGTGAAATGCAATGTAAATGTGTGCACCTTGTATTTAATTTTTAATTCTTAAGTGTATAAATAAAATTATTAATATGCCTATTTATTTGCAACTGAAATGCCTAAGCAACCGAAGTTGATTTTAATAAAACTTATTTTCTATAATATATACATACATATATATATTTTTTTTGTTTTTTCCATTTGGAATTACGCATTAGCCAACAGCAAACTGCATAGAGAGAGCACCAATTCTAGAGCAAGTTCATAATTACAATTAGAAGTTTTTCCATCATTAGCCAATTCAAGTTTTCAGCTCAGTTAGTCAAAAGGCAATGCTTTCATATATATTTTTTTCGATATCTACATCAACTCCTAACTGCATAGAAAAGATTAGTATTTTGATTACCTTGTAGCGTGATAATCAACTCATATATTTAGAGTTTATTAATGATTTTCATTCAGCCTTGTGTTGGTTGCAATTTGTAACAATTTATATTTTATGTAGAAAAACCATAATGAATTGTTTGCTGAGCAGTTCCGAGAATTAAAAGAGAGAAAAGAAAAACAAATAATAAATAAATAAGTTAAACAAATATTTATATGATAATTATGGTTAATGCAGAGCAACTACTAATTTATAGCAACAAAGGTGAATTGAAAAAGAAGAGAAAAACTGCGTACCCTTTTAAATGATGAACAAATTTATAACAACTACAAAAAAAAAAGATAAATTATAATAAAAAAAAAAATAAAAAAGCTATTTAAATTCATAAGCGTGTGTGAGTGTGTTTTAACATTTATTCATTTGTGTGTGCCTTAATATTTTTCAGTTGAACTTTCATTAATATTGCATTGGGCATTGTTATTATTAATATTATTGATTTTGCTCGTTGCATTCGAGTATTCCTGCTGTATGTGTGTGTGTGTGTATGCCTTGTGCAAACGTTTGGATAACTTTCTCTCTTTCACTCCCTTTCACTCTCTTGCGTGTGAATGGAACATAAAAGTTTTTCAGTTCTGATTTATTCATAAGCCCAGAGCTTCGCTCGCTCCGTTTACTCTGCATTTTTAAAGCTCTATGCGCAGACTGTTAGTTGATTGAAAATTATAAATATATTTTCATATAGTATAATTCCAATAATAATTAAAACAAACAATGAAAAATACTCCATACCAACAATACAGTCCAAAGGCCAAAATGAATCGTATTTGAGATTGTTGGAACTCAACAAATGCATTTGCCAAACTGATTCATATGCAGATGCAGACGCACTCAGCAAATGCCCCAATTCGAATTCCTCAGCCCATTCGCACTCATACATCAAAACAGCACTCACAAATACATACAACACACACACCTACACGCACACACACAAATTTGTACGACGACACCTTGGCAATTGTCTTGCATATTGAATTTACTTTATTCGTACCTGTAATTACTTTGTATAATTTCTGCGTTGCCCCTTATAATTATAGTGTAACCACGCAACCCACCAACAACCCAGCATAACCAATCCAATAAATAAGATTTCATTTCACACATGTGGCAGTAGGGAATTGTGCATATAGAAGCTGCTGCAGGCAATTATAAGTTAATTAACGATAGCGAGAGAATTTTCAAATAACTAAAATTCCCATCTCAAGCGGCACCAAATCTTCAAAATCCATTAAAAATATCAAAATGGTTTAGTTAAAAAGATTCCGAGAAATAGGAACAAAAAACCATTTTAAATATTTAATTTAAAAATATTTCCGTTTTAATTTATGCTTTACGTGGACTTGGTGAACGCCCGAACCCGTATTGTTCCTCTCTTATCTCTTGCCTCTCTCTCTGTCTCTAATTATTTATATATACGCATACCTGTAAATTGTTTAATTGATATGGATTGATGGATTGACCTTAACTAACTATATATACACACAAAACATATATATAAAGAATATATACATATATAAACTATATATCTAAATAATAATGACTATATTTATGTATATGATTATTTTTCTTACTTTTGATGACCTTTGATGATGTAATAATAAGAGAATGAACTGAATTGATTGAATTTTTACTTTGATATGTACATTGAATTGTCATTTATATCAACATAAACATAAATTAATATATCAATAAATATATTAATATATATATAAATATATATATATACATATATGTATATATATATATATATATATATATATATACATATATATATATATATATATATATATATATATATACTCACATACAGTAAAGAACGCCGGAAATTGCTGAAATTCCCAAGTTCCTCCGTTCCTTCGCTCGTTCGTTCGTTCGTTCGCTCGTTCTGCTGATGATCGTGATTTGCGCATAAAATTTAACACTTACAACAATTTACAGTTTATAAGCATAAATACATAATATACATAATACTACTACTTATTGTACTTGTACTCGTGCCAAGCTAATTTGACGACCTGATATAATATGATCATGATTTGTTATGTGGTGCAACCCCGGAGTATATACAATACGAACGTTTTTGGATTTTTTTCGAATTACATTATTTCTAATATTTATACTTGTACTTGTATACAATATATATTTATATTGCCTATTAACCTATACGACAATTAATATACGACCTAGTCATACATATAGTGTACGCATCATTCAATGCATATTGTAATTTTTAACTGAATGTTCTGTGATAACCAGCGAAGCGCAAAAAGAGCTCCTCAAAACAAAAACCAAATTTTTATATGTACACTCACACACAAGCCCACAACCCACAGCCACTGCCACAGTCCACACCGAAACTTAAAACGACACGCAGCAAACTCACACAAGCGCCAGAGAGTCTAACATACTGCCTATAGAAACATGTATATACACGCTAACACATCTACAAGCACTTAGCGCGCACCATGTACAGTTTTATTTATTGTGCCTTGCCACACACACACACACTCACAAACATACGCAACAGCACGTAACGTTTTTACTTTTTTGTCACGATCATTTGTCGCACCACGTTGCGTATACTTAATGCGCGATCTGGCCTTGCATCCAAACCATTTCCAGCTGATGGCTTGTGGTTTATGGCTTATGGCATGGCACAGCTGCCAGGCCAAACTCATTATAAATTAATTAGCCGAGCAATTAATAATTTCACGTTCCATTTAAGTTTGTTAATCAATTAGTATGATACACACAGACTGCAAACAAACAAAAACTACACGGCCTACAACATCAACAGCCGCAACAATAGGCTATAAAAACACACCGCAAGCCACTTACCAAGCACCATCAAAGAAATCTCGCACATTTTCGTTGTATGTTTTTTGTTTGTGTCTTGTTCTCTGCATTTGTAGCTTCTCAGACAACAGAACTACCCGTGAAATTTAACATTCTTAGCGATTCTAATGTGCACCCTAAATTATTTATATTAATTTATTTTATTTTTTATTTCGTCTATGTGAAGCTAGCGACCACCGTTTGATAACTTTTTAAATATAATTTAAGTTTCTTAACTGCCATTTGGGTGTACAGCGTAAAAAAAAAAACTAAGCTTTTCACCTGCAGCAGCACATAACATTTTTAATTTAGTTTTTATTCACTCTTTCCGTTTGCATACCCACAAAAAAAAGGAAGTGAATTTGGCTTTAGTTCTAAGTGTACTAATAATAATCATAATTATAATTTTCACAATGCCACCTAAAACTGCACTTCTGCATTTCCCGTGCACCAGCTGCCCGTTGAATCGCTTGCCGCTTGCATTAAGCCCGATAGCAGTCCACTGGCCGGAAGCAAAGCCCTCTAAACCCCGAAACCCGCTACACACCTTTACTTTGTTATAGCACTCAATCAAAGCACTCACAAAATTTGTAATCGCTTGCACCGATCTAATATAGTTTATGAACTTGGGGAACATTTAAATGTATTTTTCGCTCGTTTTAAGGAATGCAGTCCTTCAGCATGGCTTCAATTCGTTGTATAAGGAGATATGAACTTGAGGCTAAGATTTGCATTGATAATATAGGATGTCACATTATGATATATTATAATCAATACTTTCTAACAAGAAACAATCAAGAAGGCATATCTCGACCACGAGAGGCACTATTTAAAGCTTTATGCTAATCGAATATTAAGAGAATAGGACACAGCAAAAAATAGTGCCTAGATATTTACAAGCTATAGTATTCGGATACATCATTTTACAATCGTTTCCTTGTTAAAATATTTTGCATTTATGCCAAGCTCTGTCTTAAATTAGAAAAGTAGACACTAGATTTGGATTTATGTTTTCCATCTTATTCGATTTCCTTAGACAAAAAAAATGAAATTATTAATTTATATATTAAACATCGTACTTTATACGAAAACTACAAAATACTAAACTAACATAAAATCTACAGTTAAATTATATTATTTCGAACATTTGCTGCCGACTCCACTTGACCGAGATATGTCTTTTTGAAGTTTCTAGAAATAATATTCTAAGCTTGGGTTTTTCCAGCGGGTAGGCCGCGAAGCAACGTTAAACAGTAAGTACATGAAGTATATATTAAACCTTTTATATAATGTTTTATTGTTCATACACTACTTGGACTCCCAAAGCCGTATTCAATGGTTATTTTTCTTTGACTGCATAGATAGTGCCTACATTGTCCAACAGCCAATTTATTCGCAAACTTTAATGATTTAATGATCAGAGCTTCGAACCCAAATGAATGGTCCTCGGTTCGGCTTATGGATTGAACCAACTTCCTGCATTAAGGTTCGGCTCGTAAACCTGATTTACACATCCATAAGCCCGTGGTTGGCTCAAGGCTTGGCTTGTTATATATTTTATATTTTCAATGAATTTCAATTTTCAATTCAATTTTAAATTAGTTCACATTTTTAATGGAAGTTACTTGAATATATTCAATGGTTGGGACCCAAGTTATTTATGCTGTAGGGCTGAGTCTGCTACAAAAGTATTATATTTTGAAAAAAAAAAAATAGTTTGGTTAGTATTTAGGCTTAGCTGTTGTTTTTTTTTTTTTGCAAAAATAAATTTAAAAAAAATAATTGGAATTCCGAATTCGAACCGGCTTTGTTTAAAGAGGGCTTTCAGCAAGGGCTTACGATGATATATAATTGCTTATAT